TAGGCCCATATCCCTAATGAACATAGATGTAAACGCTCTTTACAAAATTTTATTATATCAAATCCAACAATCGAATCCAACAGAGTCATAGTAAAGAATAATACGTGATAACCAAGTGGGTTTTTTTTCCTCAAGTATACAAGATTGGGTTAACATCTGAAATCAATGTAATTCACCATATGAACCCATATGCTGTAGAGGCGATTCTGACTCTTGTGACCCCTGTGTTACAGAGTAGAACTGCTCCATAGGGTTTTCTTGGCTGTAATCTTTATGGAAGCAGACTGCCATGCCTTTCTTCCGTGGTGCTGTTGGATGGGTTCAAACTGCCAACTTTTAGGTCAGTTGAGTGCAAACTGTTTGTGCCACCGAGGGGCCTTAATTCACCATATTATCAGACTTAAATAAATTTTTTAAAATCCATTCATGATAGAAATTAAGAATAGAAGGGACCTTCTTTTACCTAATAAAGTGTCACGAGTTGATGTCAACTTGACAGCAACAAACAACAATATGCAAAACCTATAGCTTGTATCACCATCATACTTAATAGTGAAAGACTGAAAGCTTTCCTCCTAACATTGGGAACAAGGCAAATGTGTCCCTCACAACTTCTATTCATTGTACTGTATGTTCTAGCCAGGGCACTAAGAAAGAATAAAATGCATACAGATTGTAACGTAAGAAGTAAAAAAGTATATTCATAGATGACGTGATCATCCATAGAAAATTCTAAGTAATCAAAAAAAAAAAAAAACTTAAAAGTGAATTTAGCAAAACTGCAGGATAAAAGGTTAATATACCAAAATAAATTGTATTTCTATATATTAACAATGATGAAATGGAAATCGAAATTTCAAAAATACCATTTTCAATAGCATCAAAACATGAAATACTTGGGGGTAAATTTGACAAAGGAGTACAAGACCTGTAAACTGAAAACTACAAAACGTTGGTAAGAAGAATTTCAAAAGTCCTAAATAACTGGGAAGATATATTATATTCATGGATTGGAAGACTCCATATATTGTTAAGATGTCACTTCTCTCCAAATTCATCTATAAATTCAAGGCAATCCCAATCAAAATGCCAGTAGGCTTTTTTTTTTTTTTTTGATAGAAATTGATGACATAATTATTACATACAGAAGAATTCACTCTTCTGGTATATATTTATATTTGGACAAATGTAGAGTCCTATAACCACCACCACAATCTGCAAACAGAACAGCCCTATAGCCCCTCTAAGTTCTTCTTAGGCTATCCCTTTATAATTAAATCCTCCTCCCATCCTCAAGCCCTGGAAATCTCTGATCTATTCTGTCCCTACATTTTTGTCTTTTCCAGAGTGTCATATAAATGTAATATACTCCGTTGCTTTTTGAGTCTGGATTCTTCCATGTAAACCTGTTGCTGCTGAGTCAATTCCAACTCATAGCGACCCTACAGGACAGAGTAGAACTGCCCCTTAGGGTTTCCAAGGAGCGGCTGGTGGATTCAAACTGCCAACCTTTTGGTTAGCGGCCAAACGCTCAACTATTGCATAGCATAATGCAATTCAGATTCATCCATGTTGTTGGGTGTATCAATAGTTTGTCCCTTTTTACTGTTGATTAGTATTCCATTATATGTATGTACCATAGTTTGTTTATTCATTCCCCAGTTGAGGGACATTTGGTTTGTTTCTAGTTTTTGGTGATTACAAATAAAGCTGTTATAAACATTTGCATGTAGAATTTTGGGTGAACATAGTTTTTCATTTTATGTGAGTAAATACCTAGAAGTGGGATTGCTGGGTTGTACGGTAGGTATACGTTTAATTTTATAACAAACTGTTTTCCAAAGTAGCTGGATCATTTTTGCATTCCCACCAGTTGTTCTGCATTCTTGTTAGCACTTGTATTGTCAGTTTTAGTTTTTTTTAAATTTTAGCTAACCTAAGAGATGTGTAGTAGCATTTCATTGTGGTTTTAATTTGCATTTCCCTAATGACTAATGATGTTGAGCAATTTTTCATATGCTTATTTGCCATCTATATCTTCTTTATAAAGTGTCTGTTCACATCTTTTGCTCAGTTTTCTATTTGGTCAGTTGTTTTCTTATTGTTCTTTATATATTCTGGACATAAGTCCTTTGTCTGATATCTGATTTGCAAATATTTTCTTACAGCAATGGCTTGTTTCATTCTCGTAAAAGGATCTTTCACAGAGCATAAGTTTTGAATTTTGATGAAGTCCAATGTACCATTTTTTTTCTTTCTTTCTTTTCTGGATCATGCTTTTAATGTCATATTTAAGAAGTCTTTGCCTAACCTCAAGGAGCCCTGATGGTGCAGTGGTTAAGCACTCGGCTGCTAACTGAAAGGTGGGAGGTTTGAACCCACCAGCCGCTCCGCAGGAGAAAGATGTGGCAGTCTGCTTTCATAAAGATTATAGCCCTGGAAACCCTATGGGGCAGTTCTACCCTGTCCTATAAGGTCACTATGAGTCAGAATTGACTCAACAGCAATGGGTTATGGATTTTTAACTAAACCTAAGATCTCAAAGATTTTCTCCTGCATTTTTTCCTAAAATTCTTAGGGTTTTACCTTTTACAGTAGGTCATCCATTTTGTTAATTTTTTTCCTAAGGTGTGAGATAGTTAAAAGTTATTTATTTATTTATACGATTGTTATAGCACCATTTGTTGAAAAGACCATCCTTTCTCCACTGAATTGCCTTTGCCAGTTAATCACTTGGCCATATTTGTGTGGGTCTATTTCTGGACTCTCTATTCTATTCCACTGATCTATATATGTCTATCCTTTTGCTAATAGCACACTGTCTTCTTGATTACTTTAGTTTTACAGTAAGTCGTGAAATCAGGTAATTTGAGTTCTCTAACTTTGTTCTTTTTTTTTTTTTCCCCCGAAACTATTTTGGCTAGTCTAGTTCCTTTGCCTTCTCATACACATTTTAAAACCTCTATCTAAGGATTTACAAAAAAATTTGAATTTACAAAAAAAATTGTACTAGGATTTTGACTGGGATGGTGTTGAATCTATAAATTGGGTTTGGGAGAACTGGTATTTTCGTATGGTATATATGTCCATTTATTTAGGTCTTGGATTTATCAGTGTTTTGTAGATCCTGCACATATTTTGTGAGATTTATTTTTTTCTGAGCCAGTGTAAATGCTACTGTTTTTAAAATTTCAACTACCAATTGTTCACTGCTTATACAATTAATTGTGTCTGTGTGTATGTGACCTTTGTAAACTCAGTAGTCCTAGGAGCGTTTTTGATGATTCCATGGGATTTTCTACGTAGACTCCTACATAGACATTCATGTCATCTGGGAAGAGTATTTTATTTCATCCTTTGCTATCTGTATGCCTCTTATTTTTCTTGCCATATAGTATTTGGTAGGAATCCTAGTACACTATTGAACAGGAGTAGTAAGAATGGACAGCCTTGTCTTGTCCCTGGTCTAAAGGCAGTGATGGGTATGTTCACTATCTTGATTGTGGTGATGGTTTCATGGGTGTATATATCAAAACTTATCAAATTGTACACTTTAAATATATGCAGCTTATTTATGTCAATTATCTGTCAATAAAAAAAGAAGAAGAAATAATTTATCAGATGTTCTAGAGAAGAACTAAACTTCCAGCTGACAACCAGACAGTTTAAGCCTTCCCATAGTCTCCTGCCTTTGGACCATCTCAGTACTCTGCATGAGAGAATATCATTTTTGTTCTAACAAAATGCTGATCTTTTCTTTTGCCCTCATCCAAGTCTTGCCTCACCTTTCTACCTTAGTTCACCTTTCAAGTTAGTGGAATTCTATCCAGGTGAGCTCTCTTTATAGACAAGTCATTCCTACCCCACAAGTAAAATCGTTTCTTTTGAAGAATGTGTCTTCACTGTTCTGTTCCAGTACTGGATCTCATTCAACCTAGTTTCAGTGATGTCTATGAGATTATGCTTTTTCTGTTAAATTTTTGTTCATCAAGACACAGCCATTCACTATTTTAAGAAAAGTTACCTAAAATATTCATCTTGAAACTGCTTTGTCAAATTTATCCCCTTTCTGGCTCCCAAATTCAATCATAGCCCCCATGTCTTATCACTCTTACCTCCTGGACTGCTCATCTAAAGACCACTTAGTTATTCTAATTCATGGAACACAGAGAGTGAAGGGCATGGACACTACAGTTAAGACTATCTGGGCCGAAGTCTTATAAGTTGATGACCTTGGGTAAGTTTCAGACATACAGAAAAGCATACAAACCCTAAGTGTATGGCTCAATGAATTTTCAAAGTGAATACATCCACGTAGTCAACATCTAAGGCAGGAAACTGAACATCACCAGCATCTCAGATCCTATGTTAAATTTTTAAGATTGCAGGTGACCTTTATTTTTATGGCAAAATAAAATACATACTACATTAAGGATCCCATGATACATCCCAGAAAATATAAGAAAAAGTAATCCCCGAACTGTCCCCTGGTAAATGCATAGCCTCTGTACTTTTATGCCTACTCTAAACTTGTCCTACTAAAATTCAATGGAAAGTAGGCATATGGGGTGGGGAATAAGAAAAGATGCATAAGAGTAAAGAAAGAAAGAAAAAAAAAAAAAAAAATGTCTCCCAGATAAGGGATTATCAGGGAGTTGGAGGAATTTGAGTTCAGAGCTTGTGGTAGAGAGGGCTAGAAATACTGAATCCTGGAGAAGGTGACTACCCCTGTTGAGATAGGGGCAGTATGTACAGTGGGCATAACTATAGACTCTGGACATGTTTTCTTCTATTCTAGGAAGAATGGGAGGAGAAACTAATTTAAGGGATGGTGGAAGAACTAGTTTCAACCCATTCTCTGATTTCTTCCTGTCTCTACAGCACCTCCCATCTCAGCACCCTGACTTTATGCAGATTTGAGTCTTTCAGGAGACTCCTAACTAAAATCTTTCTTTGCGTTCACATTCAGAAGATATTCTCCAACAAAAAGGAACACATACCTGCTCTTTGACCTCTATGTTATGTTCCCCTTCCAGAATAAGGGTGACAGCTTGCATAATTTGTTTTCCATGAGTACTCATTATTTTATCTATATGCTGTAAAACAAAAGGAAATCCTCCATTATTATCTGCGACACAAAGAAAAAGACCACAGGAAAGAACAGAAGGCTTCTAAAAGTTAAATAATAGGATACAAAACTGTTTCATGCAGAAAACCACAGCACACATAAGTAGATGCCAAAGGACATGTTTATTATATTCTGAAGCTGCCTTTTGCCTTCATTACATAAAAGCTTTTGACAACTTGAAGATGAAGAGAAAATACATTTAGCTTTACAGAATACAGAATTTCAATCACTAGGGGTCCTCAAGCCCAAAGATATTAAAGAAAAAGGGAGCAAAACCAATGGATGGGGGGAAGAAAGCCAGAGACTTGGCAAATATGGTATAGACTTGCTAATATTATCTGGGAGCACAAGTGTATTTAGAAGACTCTTTCTGAGACACAAAGTGAGGTCTCTGGCAATGCTGCTCAGGGAGAATTAGAGACAAATGTCGAGAGAGACCCCTACAGGAGGCTCAGCTTCTACTCTAACATACTCCTGCTTTTGTCCACACTGACATCCTCAGAGGTCAATCCTGATATGTGGGTGGTGGTCGTGGGGGCCCCTATGGAATGGTACTGAGAAGAATTTGTAAAGAGAAAGAAGCAGAGGCCCCAGAGATAAGTGACTAAATCCAACCTGGCAAGCCAACCAGGTAAAAATAAAGTAACAAAATAAGGCAGGCACACATCCAGCACTGTAGGAGGCAAGGGAGAGAGGACAGGCAATGCAGAGTGAAGGGCCAGGTGGCTGTATGGTGAAACAGCTCCCAGACACGATGAAGGAGACAAGTCTGGACATCATCATCTCACTTCACTGCGAAGGGCAGCATCTGAATGTACCCGCAGTCATGGGCAGATGTCAATGGGAAGAGAGCAACTACAATGTTTTGCAATGCGTGTTTTGTTGTCAGTTGCCATCAAGTCAATTCCAACTCATGGCAACACCATGTGTGCAGGGAACCGCTCCACAGTGTTTTCAAGGCTGTGTCCCTTCAGAAACAGATCGTCAGGACTGTCTTTCAGGGTGCCTTTGAGTGGGTTCAAACCATCAACTTCTTGACTAGTAGTCAAGTGCTTAATTGTCTGTGTCCCACCCAGGGACCCTTGTAATGCACAGACAGAGCTAAAGCTGGAAACCTGGGTGATTTTACTTACAGGACGAGTAGAGAGGAGATTCCGAAGAAGTCCCAATGTCTTCATTAGCACATTCAAATCTGAATCTGATAATAACCGGAATAGCTGTTCAGTACTCAAGCTTCGTAAAATATCAGCTTTTATTTTTTGTTCAGCCTGAAATGCCATATTCTGAAAGGATTAAAGAAGTTGCAAGAATAATGTCTACATCCGCTTTTAAATTATATTTTATTAACTCTGTAATTTTCAAAGTAGAAACAGAATCTGCAGACAATCCTCAAGTATAAGTCATAATATTTTCATGATTCCTGTTAATAAATCACCTATAATTCTTTCTATAAAGAGGAGCTGTCACTCTTAGATATACTTACATATGAATAATGTAACTGCTTTCTGATGTGGGCATTTGAGTGTCTTAAGATTTCTCAAATAAGCACAATATCTTTGTGACTTTTAATAACAAAATGAATATTAACAACTATACTGTGCCATGAATTTTGAGAATGATTTAAAAATAAGCAGTGGATGTTGTTAGTTTTACCCATATTAAAATACCTATAGGTTCACAATACTATGTGAGGTGTTGATATGGCTGGGTCATATCACACAGAAGCTCTCTACAGGGTCGGAGATACTTCTGAGCTGACAGCAACTCCAGGTGGCCAGTAGCTATTTAGTGCCTTTTTCTCCATTCTGGACACATTATGGATTAGCCCAGCTTAGAACCCCAAGATACGGTAATATTTCTGAAAAAAAGAAAAACTGCAAATTCTAAATAACAACTCATTAACCAACTTTTGGTACAAAGTCTGTTGTAAATTAGAGACTTCTTTTAATATGTGGTTCTTGTCCTCCAGAAACTTATATTTTAGTTAAGGAGCTAAGACATATAAGCAATCAAGTTACCTAACGATGTGCAGCAGCACAGCAGAGCAAAAAGAGTACTGGGCTGGGTGTCAAAAGACCCAGGCCAAAAAGGATTCCAAGGTTTCATATTTTGTGGAGAGAACTTGGTGATTTGAAAACTGATGAGAATAAGACAGTATGATTTAAGGGACTGGATAAGTTAAATTTTCAACATTAAAGGTGTGCATGTCAGGGAGCCCTCAAGTGAAGGCCCATAGGTAATTTAAGTGACAGACCTGGGAAACAGGAATAGTTACATCTAATACATAGATTTTGAAAAAAAGCTCTTCTATTAGGGGGTGTTGAAAACATGAAAGTACGTGAAGTCTTGGAAAACGGTAGTGTAAAGGAAATGGAAACTAGAAGCTGAAACTTGGGGGGATGTCCCCTGAGACAGAGGTTGAAAAGAGGCAAGGTAGAAAGTGAAGTGAAAATAGTCAAGTATTGGGAAAGAAAGTGCTAAAAGCTAGTGTAAAATTAAGAAGAAAAAAACAACTGTGAAACTAGATTCGGTGCTTCCTTAGAAGACGATTATTTCTATCCCAAAGTTTTTAAGAAAAGACAGCAAGTACAGCATGGAATAGGGAGAAGAGTATGGGTTTTGGGACAGGTTCAGAATCTGTTTCTATCACATATTAGCTGTGAGGCCTTGGGCAATTCATTTAACCTCCCTGGGTCCCAGTTTCCCATTTGTGAGGTGGATATATACCAATATAAGTTAAAACATTAAAATATAACTTAAAATAAGAATTAGAAATAACAAATGTAAAACACTTAGCTTATGCCTAGCACACAGTAAACGCTCATTAAACTGTAACTACTATAATGTTTAAAAAAATCCACGTAGGACTGCTCCATTTTCAATTTCAATAAATTTTTTAACCTAAGTCTCCTAACTCATAGTTATATACCTTTAGAATCTAGATTATTATACATTATTTAATAGAAACTGTTAAGAAATTAGGAGCCCTGGTGGCACAATGGTTAAGAGCTTGGCTGCTAACCAAAGGTTGGCACTTCGAATCCACCAGCCGCTCCTTGGAAACCCTATGAGGCAGTTTCACTCTGCCCTATAGGGTTGCTATGAGTCAGAACTGACTTAATGACAATAGGTTTTTTTTTTTTTGGTGGCACAGTGGTTAAAGTGCTCGGCTGCGAATCGAAAGGTCAGCAGTTCGAACCCACGAGCCACTCTGCGGGAGAAAGATGTGGCAGTCTGCTTCCATAAAGATTACAGCCTTGGAAACCCCA